TAACATAGGGTGTCAACTTTGGAGTTGATTTCAACCTCTTCAAACCGTTTTTATAAAAATACGTGGTTCATCATTTTCGCTGTAGATTATTATATAGGAGTCTCAGCTAAATCGACGGTGACCACCTCGCGAGGTCTCCTTGCTAGTTGAAATTATATTTAAAGCAGACACTTTATACCTTTTTGATCAATCAAGTTCTTTAAATTTTTTTGTTACTATATTATGTTTGGCCAGGTTGTTAAATGCAGATGGGTCCATTGTTGAATATAATATTTTTTTTCGTTTATGTTGAATATAAATTATCAAACAACTGTTCGTTTGTGAGTGATTTTTCTTTTAAAAAGTACAACCTTTTATAGTGCTTTTTACATCATAATTGCCCTCTTACTTGAAAATTTTTATTCGTATCTCATATTGATTTTGAAAAATTGTTGTTTTCATTTCGTACTCCCACGTTATTTTAGAACATCAATATTTTTTTTTAACCTGTCAATTCCATAAATAATTATGTTCTTCATTGGTTCATTCATAAAAGAGGGAACTGAAGAGGAAATATATGAATACAATGATAAAAATTATTTTTTTAGTTGAACAGTAAATTGTATACAGTAAATTTCAAAGGTATTAATTAACTATACAATCTTTTACTCGGTCAATTAAAATCAGTTTGTGATTGTTCAAAAATCAAAATTAACATGATTATGAGGAAATAGAACGATGTAAAAATAAAGCAGTACAGTTTTTTAACATGCTTTATGTTAAATTACAAAATAAAACATTACTATTAGCTCCGAAACTTTACACTTCCAAGCATATACAAAAGGGAAATGCATTATTAAGTCTTCTGTTAATGATAGATCAGAACATATACCATGTGGTATAGCTTTTTATATACACTGTTCGTATGATGATTCTCAATCGAAATTTGCTTTATATTGTGGTGAAGATTGTAAAAAATGGTTTATGCAGAAATGATTTGAATTTTCGAAGGAATTCAAAAAAATAATTGACAATCCCATACCAATGGAGTCCTTATACAATCAACAAATCTCTCATTTTCATAATACAGAAAAATTTCATATATATGAAGTATCTTTCAAAGATAGTAAGAATCGAGTTCGTGATCATTGTCATTTTTCAGGAAAATTTCGTGGTCCAGCTCATTATGCATGTAATTTAAATTATTAAACACAACCGATAATTTTGAAAATAGAATTTGGAATTATAATGGCGTTTGTTTCTTGTAATTTAACAATGCTTCCCGTTAAGTTTTTAGCATCAGATGAATCATTTTTTATGACCGTTTCTTAAGTAGTATAATTATATTTGTTGATAATAGGTAAATTGCGATTCGATGTGTTAGAGTTAGACGAGTGAGATGATTGTCGATTGTAATTACGATTTTGTTGATAAGAATTATTTCTTGACTTAGAAATTTGGTTTTGATCTTTTGTATTATTATTATTATATCCGCGTCTACGCCATTCTTTGATTATATGACCTTCACGTTTACAATAATGACGAAATTTATGTTATTGAGTTGAATGATTCATTGAAAAAGAGTTGTTATCATTATTATTATGATGATTAAATTGCTTCGTATTGTCCTGACACTCATATGTTGAATGATTTGATCGGCCGCAGATTTTACATCTTTTATCTTGATAATTAAATTCTAATCTCAGTGCTTTATCTTTACATACACCGGCCGTAAAAGCTTCGTTGATTGCTTTAAATTCACAAGAATACAATATTTGAAAAATTCTTGGATGGCAATGATAAATACATTGAATAAGTGTCATATTTTCAATAATAGATACAAAGTGTGCTAATAAGCTTTTAATTTCAATCCTATCAGAAGCACAAATAGAAGCGAGAATACGCCAACATAAATTATTTATGCGTTGGAAAAATTGTAGTTAATTTTCTTTTTTCTGCTGTCGACAATTATTTGATTCTTCTAATAATTAATCTAATGATTCCTTTTTTTGGTTTAGATTTAAAAGTAATTCAGAAATTTCTTTCTATGTAGTTAGGTCATAACAGATAGCGATTATCTTCCTGTTATACAACTTTTGACAAACAATGATAATATGAGTTTTTGAGATTTGTGAGCTACATCGAATATCGCGTCAACTTGTTCAATAAGCTTCCTAGTTTTAAACGATCGCCATCAAAAGTGTCCGGGATTGATTTTGTCCGAAATTCAGGGGATGGTCAATTGTTAGAAAGAACAGTTGTATTTATAATAACTTGAGCATTTGGCATGTTTGCAAATGTAGATAATAAAACAATCGATCGAAACAACAGAGCAGGATAAACATAATCACTCTGAATTTACTCAACACAGAGTATCTTTCAGAAAAATTCTTAGCATTCTTCAATAAATGCTTATCCCAAGGCGTCTTTTCTCGGGCTTGAAAGAAAGAAATAATTCGTACGCTCCTAAAGAGTCTCGACAAAGATTTAGCAGATTCTAAATCATACTAACCAATATGTCTCCTATCAGTACTAGGTAAAATCTCCGAAAAATTTATAAAAATTCGTCTTTCAACTAGCATCCTCAAACAACGAAATACTTCAGACCACCAATATGGATTTACGGTAGGTCGATTAACAGTAGATGCTCTAGAAAAGCAGTGCAAGAATCCACAGAACGTAACGTGGTTGCATTGCTTTTATAAACTTCAGACGCATTTGATAACATGTAGTGACGTTCAGTTCTTAAGGGATTAAAGTCACGAAACTGCCCTGAAAATATTTACAAAGTAATGAAAGATTATTTGACGAATCAAACAGTTAGCCTATTTTGGGGAACTGATTCGGTCACGAAAATGGACACGCGTGAATGCACTCAAGGATCTGTGCTTGGCCCACTTTGCTGAAACATACAAATTTCCTTCCAAGTATAAAGGAAAGACTCGATGATCTTTGGATTCACCTGATGACTCCGGTATTCACAGGACATAATATATTCCATCCACACCGCGCACAATTTGCCCTGCTTGTAACAGAGAAGATGTCACAGAGGAACATTCTTAATTGCATTGTTCCGTATTTAGAGACATAGGCGAAAATCTAATAGTGGTCATACGTTCCGAAATAAACGTTGACCTCGGCCAAACATGGCCCAAAATAGCTCCGAAATTTGTCCAAAACAGAAAAAAAACATTTAGAGCACTCAAACAATTTGTCAAAATGTGCGCGAGGGAAAAATTCTTAAAGAAATTTGGTAAATACATGGTGGATTTAAAAGACAGTGAAGAGAAGCAAGAGCGACAAACACAGAAACAAATAGACTTCTCCACCCCGTAAAAGTAATAGATTAACACAATCAGTATTAAAAGAACCATAACTCGTGAATTTCACTAATCCACACCTAGGTGAGGTTGGAGCGCCTAGGCTGCACGACTGCAATCTGCGCAGAACATCTGTAGTCTGTGGATCAAATGGATAGGATCATAACTATACCTTTGTTACATGACGGATCAGATATTTGTACCTCTATCAACAAGAATCTAAAATGAATTTCATTTTTCATGTTCTGGCATCATAGCCTTACCGTTTTTTTATCAGAACGTTTTACCTTATTTTAACTTTAACTTAACTTAGCTTGATTTAAACTTTTATATCTTTCAGGAAACTCATAAATACGAACTATAGATTTTTATACGCATATAGGCATACGCGTCCCGAGAAACGCGATTGTAAGAAGTAGGAATTACTTCTAGAGTTATGCCCCATGAGGCGACGTGTTTGAACCAAATGTTCTTTTCAGGATAGGAAAACATGGCCTGCCTTTATGAATATTTATTTCTGAGAGTTCTTAAAATATATTTTTTTTTTCAGCATATAAGGGTGAATGACAAATATAAACTGCAAATAATTAGTGGTCACACATGAGCGTGACTCTCTTGTGTGCAGAGTAAGTGTTCGGAGGACGAATAATCCGTGTACTTATGTCTATCATGTTGACAGGATTTTTTTGATCCGTGAAGAATATTCAATAAATTCAGCACATTGAGGAAACATTTTCTGATATTATTATTTTTTACTTCCCACTGGTAAGGTATGATATTGGATTCGATATTACAAATTCTTAATTCCGATATATCTCGACGTTTAAAGGCCCCTAGAGTTGAATTCGACAGTTTTCTAGTAGACGTCTGCGCGTGTGTATGTATGTATGTGCGCATGTTCACACGTTCGTACGTGTGTTCGGAATTATTTTTTGCCTCGATTTTCTCAAAGAATGATAGTAATGTGGAACAAATTGCATTTAGCGCACAATGATCCAACTAAAAACTGGTTAGGTTACTCGTGAAATCGATTTAGCCATTTTCTTTGCTAAATAAAAAAAAAAAGAATAGATTTTGGAAATCTGAAGAAGAGAATGAATTTCGACTCTGTTCTTTTTATTTATGTATTCTTTTTTATTTGAACATTGTTAAAGGTGGCATTTCAGCAGCTGTGATCGCATCTCCTATCGTCTTTCTCGCAGAATGAACTGAATAGAAATGGATTTTCTCATGAATTTCCAAGATTTTCTGTAGACATAGTAGAATGACAAAGTAGGATTTATAACCTTCATTAAGATAAGAATGACGAAATAGAGTATATTCAAGATGTTGGCATGGAAAACTAAAGACTTCTCTTTCGTTAATGACGTTTGTATGGAAACTTATCACTTCACTAATGAAAAATAGTACGAATGCTAAATTAATGATTTCATTTAGATGATTGAATAATTCCATTTATTTATAATAGCATTTCTTCTTCAATTTCTATTAATCTAAATCTTTTGATCACCGATAAACATTATTATCATAGACATCATGCATACACAGTGAACAGTTTTTTTTTTATCTCATCCATAAATCAAACAGTGCAGATTTACGAACATTCGATAGTTGATGCCAATGTTTATTCATAGTATATAAGTACAATGAATGACACAAAACATATTATCAAAATTGATGTTTTGCGGCACATGCACTTACGTTCTGTATATCCAAATTCATCTTCGGTTTCCGGATCAGCGTTTACCTCTGTTTGTGACCTCTTAACATTTCCAGCACTCTTACGCGAAATCTGAAAATCACACAATTTATAATCATATGCTACAGAGAGGTCAAAATTGTTTTAATACACATAAATAAAGAAATCTACGATTTTTATATAATAAGATAGCATTCACAAAAGTAAAAAAACACAAACTGATAAATAAGTCGATTTGAAATTTCGTATCTCGAAGGATCAGCTTATTTAAAGAGTTTATTTGAAAGTCCAGTCAATAAACCACAATGTAAAAATTATAATTGTACACTGTAAAGTTATTATGATGATTTTATATTTAACAATGTTAGACCACGTTTCTCGAACAATTTTTTGTCAATTTGACGCAACAACACAATATTTACAAGAGAATTTTTCACAACATTCACGGATCTTTTTCTAACTAAATTTAATTAATTGCGCGAAAAGTTTAAAGAATTAATATTGACATATTTCCTTCTCAATTTTCAAATGACTGAATTTCGCCAGCCTCATAAACTCCTCATAGCGATATTTAATTTTCGTTGATGATTACTATTATAGTTTTGATGAAGTTTTATATATTAATTTATAATCTAAAATGCTCATGATATTTTTAAGCTGTTATATTATGTTTGATATTTAACTTTGTTTCGTTATGAAGAATTTCATTTTTCTACCTGATTGAAGTGATGTACATTTACCTCCAAGATAAAAATCCATTTTTTTGTCATATTGTCATAAAAGAATGGATTTCATTCCTAGTTTAATGGTTTATTCTACCAAAACTGCTATCATTGGATGTCAGTAAAACGTCGAACCATGTACACGTCCCAAACGACTCTGTAAATAACAGAATTCTCACTTTTGAATAATTATTTGAAATAATCGTAAAACAGCGAAAAAGTTTGAAATCAAATGGAAGGCCATGTCGTCTACGAAATTAAGTCATTATTCTCATGAATTTTGATGTTATGTCCGAGTTTATTTAATGTAATAATTTAAATTGATAATTATTTTAAAAGCCGAATTGAGGGATGAAGGATAGCACGCTTTCGTAAAGGGGGCGCTCTGACTAACAGTAGGTTTCAGGGTACGAAAAGTCTTTCTCTTTATTTAATTTTGATTTAGGGATTCGTTATGATACGGGATTCGTTGTTTAACCGGGAGTAGCGAAATAATTAAGATCTGACTTCAATACATAAACTTTATACTTAAAGGGGACAAAAAAAAAGAAACTATCATGCTTACGCTTCTTCCTGGGTGGTTGTCAATAAGGGCTAGAAAGGTCAGGAATATTGTAGACAAATATCAAGAGACACTGATGGTTAGGTTTGAATACACTTATTTATTTTTATGTAAGATATTCTTTTACTTGATTCATAAATTGTAATTTATAACTAGAGTTCGAGGTTTCATTATTATAAAGTAATGACAACTTTTAATTTAACTGTTCGTAAGAACCTGGATAAACAATTCACTTTACTTAGTTTGATTATATTGAGTTCACAATGTGATACTTTGCACTCGGACTCGATAATGAATCTATTTCTTATATTTGATTATTGTTTAACTTCGACAGCGCGATATTCCACGTTTCCTGCTCTTTGAGCTACGACTTTCGGTACGCTGGAGGTTCACCTTACCTTCCAGAGAAACTTAGAAAATCAGAAGTATTCTCCATCAACAAGTAAATTATTACGCGACGCTCGGTACGCGAGCCGTCTTAACGAGTCTACCGTCATTGACAATAAGCCTCGATAGAAGCTCCTACTTCTTTAAATAAGGTCCGAACGTGATTCACGTCGCCACGGTGCCCTAGAAAACCAGAACGATGGTGCATCGTTTGCACCTCGAGTTGCAAAAGTCAATTTGTGAAATATTTGTTAATATTTCACGACTTGAGACTGGTATCTAGGTCTCGAAGAATCAAAACTGCAGCGTTGTCAGCTGGGTCAATAAACTAGAGGGAGAGCAACAAAAATCAAGAGTGAAAAACTTGGATGTCTTGCAAGAGGGTCAATGTTTCGTCAAGAAGACTCGCTCAGGCAAAACTTGATACTCCGTTTCAACATTGAATCGTCGGCAAAACATTCATGATTTATAAAAATTAATTTATTAGGTCACTATTCATTGAATTGGGTTAAGCAATTAATTTATCAAAGTCGAAGAGAATTAGAGAAAAATATGATGATGAATAATGATATGCCGGACATAACGAACAAATAGTGTAAAAAAATACTTGTTTGAATTTTCTATGAATAATTTACAAGAACATCACAAAAATTGGATCAAGTCTTATGCAATTCGAAAAAGTATTCTTTTACACTATTTGTCGAAATTTATGATAATAATGACTTAATTTTGTAGACTACATGGCATTCCATTTGATTTCAAACTTTTTCGCTGTTTTACGATTATTTCAAATAATTATTCAAAAGTAAGAATTCTGTTATTTACAGAGTCGTTTGGGACGTGTACATTTCGACGTTTTACTGACATCCAATGATAGCAGTTTTGGTAGAGTTTTAATAATTCTTGTAATTTTATCTATTTCTACCTTTCATTTATAATTTCGTCTACATTAATGTTTAGTACCGGACATATATCATTAACTTATGTGTTCATGAACACTTACACAATTTAACGTATTTTAGAAATCTACTAGCGTATTTCCGTGTCATCGGCTAACAATAGTTTTTTTTAAGTTTAAGTCGAACTGTTTACAACATATTTTTATCTAACTGAACGATACGTGACAAATAAAAACAAGATTTCATCATAATAATCTATTTTTCGTTATTTATAACAAAGTAGCGTATAATGGGTTCATGTCAACTGTTAAATTAGAGTTGCTAGAATAACTTCAAATCGACTGTTAGAATGTGCAATTGATTGACTATGAGTCAACCATTTATAAACGGTTGCTCGAGAGTTGATTATTGGTCATTTGAACATAATATCAACTTATAATAAACGCAATAGGTTACGAGTTGTTCTTCTTTGCAACTGTTGGTTTATATTTTTAAGAAAAAGGAAGGTTGCATTGGAGTTCACAGTTCATTAAACGTTGCATATTAGTTGGACAACCGTTTTTTATCCCACATTATAACTGTCGTTTCGAAGTTAACAATTAGTTGCTTCCAATCCATCGGGGACTTGTTATAAACAGGGTTAGTACATTTCCATTTATGTAACAGAATTGGTAACTTTTTTTCTGTGAAAGAGACAATTTCTTGTTAGAAACACTCAATTTCATTGCATCGATCCCTCTTCCAAATGTTAATAATTAAATCAATTGTTATAACTAGAAAAATAAGTTTCCATTTATGTGACATTGCTTTAATACAAAAAAAATCCTTCGTCAATTCATTGCATGCATTCTGCTTTCAATCATTTATAATGAATGCAATGGTTGTAATTGGAAAGAGTCAGTTTCCATTTATGTAACATGGTGAGTAACATTTTTTCAGTAAAAAGAAGAAAGGAAGAAAGTTACCTTTTGGAGAACTCAAACATATTACATATATTATATATTATAGGGTTAGTAACCCACTTCTAGTAAGAGAAAGAGTTGGTCGTGTGGACCTTTCGGGTTGCACCCAGACCACTGATATTTTTTTTATTCATTAATTAAATAAAATTTATTACATTTTTTTTTGTAGCGATACTAGTCCCCTTTTTCTTTTCTGGGTAATGGATGGAAATCCCCAATTTTTAAAATTATTTTTTACTTAACATTAATAACAACAATGAACAACTTTTAAATATATATATACTATATTTTCAAATTCTTGTATTACTTATTACAAGCCTTATGTAGATATTTCACCATGTTCTTCGGTCATATATTTATGAGTTATCCATTGTTGTTATTAAAATTAATTAGAAAATGATAAAAAAAATTTTGCATTTCTATCCATTACCCAGATAAAAAAAGGGTACTAGTATTGTTAGAAAACGAAATAATAAAATAAATATTATTTAATTAATGAATAAAAAAAAAAAAATTTACTGCTGAGATTCGAACCAGTCATTAAAGGATATACGAACAGAGATTGAACCCCTAAGCTACCGACCCATTTATTTCAAACGAAGATAAAATCATATTTAAAGTCTTAAGTAGGGTAGGCTTGCCCCACGGAACTCAGAGGAAAGATTTTCTTGTTATCTGTCTCATTGAGCGTCCCCTATGAAACATCTAATAACAATAGGGTTTTTTTTTGGCATTAGAGATTATTCCATTTTCAGCTGATATTTTTTTAACGTCATCAACAAAAGGGCGAATAAAACTATTAGCATTAGAAGGTTTATGTGAGCCTTGAGAATACTTATAATTTCAGGTTCACTATTCTTAATATTAGAAATCCTGATCTGAATTGGCCACATTTAAATTTTGCCTGTTCCATCTAAAGTTTCTCCATCAGTATTAAAGTCGATTTTAATATTATTTGGAATTCAATGATTTGGAGTGTTATGGAGAATATATGACATAGCTGATTCCAAGTCTAAATGTAAATGTAATTCATGATCGTTTTCGAGAACTTGAATATTTCGTGGTGATCGTGGAGTATTAAATATTTTTTTACTGTCTTTTGGCAATGACGAACATGAGTCATGTCAATGTTCACGAAGCTTTGAGCAAACATAGATTTAAATTTATCACAACTATCTATTTCCAATGACTCAGAATCGCTGCTATACTCTAAGCTATCGGAACCGTTATCACTAAGACTATTATCTACATTAGAACTAATCATATCATGGTCAAAATCAAATTCCTGTGTAATCGAATTTTCGACTGCAATCAAAGTTTCTGCTATTTCTCGGTGTTCATTTTCATTGTAAGATTCCGATAGCACATTTGACATTTCAGTAATGGAGCTTACAGATTCTTGAACTCTACGCGCTCTTAAACGTGAATCCAGCCTTCTTCTATAATCATATGCACTGTTGTGGATCAATTTTCGACTCCGTTTGTACTTCATTTATTCTTAAAGATTCATGCAATAAATATTATAAAATAAAATGTTTAAATACACAACTACATCACCAAG